CCTAGGTGTGCGGCCGGCACTTAGCTAGCTATGGCTGCCATTCTGACCACCTGGCAAAGGTGGCCTGCCCTCACCTGACCCGTGTGCACCTTGCATCACCCTTCCCAGGCACCTTGTGCCTTGGCACCTACCCCCACCCCTCACCCCACCCCCCCGCCCCAGGAGTTAGGAGACGCCTTGGGAGTCCTCAGAGAATTCTGGGTTCCACTCTCACACCCTGCTCATCTTTGCAAACCAGCGGAGGCTTCCCAGCAGCCTGCACGCTCCTCTCAGCTGGTGGAAGGTTTGGGCCCTGGCCGGGAGCCTTTCCAAGGTTGTGCAGACATTGGCACAACTATAGAACATGTCTTACCACCACTGCCCGACCAAAACAATCCCTGCCCGCTGTCCGTGAGAGCCACCCTCAGTCCTCCCACACCCTGGCCTTGCCAGATCTAGGCCCCCCACCCCCAGTTAAGCTACTCTTTTGTGTCTGTAGATTTGCCTATTCTGGACAGTAGATGGATGGGGTCCTATAGCATGCGGGCGCTTTGAAAGGTTCCTGGGAGAATCCCACGACCTCGTAATTCCAGCTTCCTGCAGGCTCTCGGGCTCCCCTGGCCCTTGTGTGGCTGACGGTGCCCAGCCCGTGGTTTCAGGGCTCGTCTGTATGGCAGCACCTGGTCCAGTGCCTCATGCCTTCCTGTTGCCAAGTAACCGCTTAGATTGGCGCATCTGTTTTCCTGTTTGTTGTTTGATGGACCCTGGGGTTCTTCCCACTCATTGCCTGTTGCCGATAGTACTGCTGTGAACCCCAGCGTGCACACTCCCGCCCCCCCAATAAATCAAGACAGACCAACTTCCGTCGGGTCGATTCCGACTCATGGCAACCCTTATAGGACAGGGTAGAACTGTCTCAAAGAGTGTCTGTCAGTTCTGACAGCAACAGACTGCCACATCGTTCCTCCCCAGAGCCGCTGGCTGGTGGGCTTGAACTGGCTCCAACTCCAGTGGTTGTGAGAGAAAAGGATCTTCTGTTTCCAGTGGGGGTGGACGGCTGGCAGCCCGCAGTGTGGTGGTCCGGGTTGGGTTGGTTTCTACGTGGCCATGCCCTCGTGGTTGGAAGGTGCTCCCTTAACCCTAGCCTGATTTCCTCTTGTCATTTCCATCCTTTGATTGCCTTTTGGGAGAAAGGCAGGGTTTTCTACCCCCATGAACAGTTCTTGCCACAGCACCTCACGGGGCAGTTCTACCCCTCTGTAAGGGTTGCTCAGTCAGCATGCACTGGGTGATTTGGGTTTTGGCGTCACGCCAAGCCCACGGTGGAGGGCAGCTTCACGATCACCGCATTTCCCTGGATGGGGCTGCTGCGGGCTGCAGTCGCTCCCTGTGCTTTATAAATCGGCGCGGTGCGGTTACTGAGCATTCCCGAAGTAGGTGCTCTCCCCCCTTTCTGGCGGCCACGTGAGCCAAGACCAAACTACCTCCACTGGCCTCCCCCGCCTCTCTGCTTCCCAATTCCTCTCCAGCTGCCTGAGTACCCCGAGCAGTCTCTCCGGAGTGTAGGTGCTGCTGGCTTCCTTATGAATGTTGTGCACTTAATTCAGTGCTAAGAATAGAATACCACCCACCAACCTTCTGCCCTGGGACCCTATCCCACCCAGTTCCGTCTCCCTGCCTCCAGCAGGACGAGTCCTCAGCCACTGGGCGCTCAGTCCTGTGGGGTCCACCCCCTCTTCTCTGGAGGACTCCGTCTGTAAGTGTCCCAGCGTCCAGGCCAATGGTTCCATCTCCTCTGGTGACCTTGGGTTGTCTGGACCACATATCTGGCTGTCCTTAGGGAAACGGGTTCTTCTTACCGCCCCTCTCCCCGACCCTGCGTCTTCTCTAGAAATTGGCAGGTGGAGGCGGGTGAGTGTTCGCTTGGAGACCCCTCTCATTGTGATGGGGCAGGGGAGGTATAAGAGGGATTAGATCCAGGCCTGGAGGCGTAGGTGGGAGGTACGGCCCCTCCTCCCCCAGCAGTGGCTATAGGACTGATTCCTAGAAAGCTTTTATCTGGTAGCCCTCCCTACCCCCCCCCCCAGTTACAAATCAGCTCATTCGCTGCCATACCTAGAAGAATAAGGGAGGGAAAAAAATTCATGACTGCTTTATTTTTTAAGAACTTAAAACTGAAAGCAATGCTTCTTTTTTTTTTTTTTTGAAAGAAACAAAAGATTTATATAAATAGAACTATAGAACATTACTTTGAGAAATCGAAAAAGATTTATATAAATGGAAAAATATCCCATGCTCATGATAGGCAGACTTAATATTGTGAAAATGTCAATACAACCTGCAGATATACTCCAATCCCAA